AACGCGGTTTAAAATATGAGTGACTCGTTAACACATTTCAAAACATCGGCAACCTGTCATCGTGTCGTGAAAGTCAACCCAACGAAACAGGCCCGGGTACAAGTGTAACGGGCACCTTACGCGTGAGGCGTGGTGAATTTTTATGCACCGTACATTACTCGTGGACGGACACGTCGCTAAAGGGTATCCACAAATCAGATTCGGGAGATTCTTCGATGGAGCCCGTGAAATACGTGAGTGAGTTGGCTTGAGAATACTAAGCCCAAAGTTATAGAACCTGTATGCATACTCCAAACACGAGTGTAATTAGTAAATAATATCTCACAAGAAGCATTCTCTCGGTTCAAGAACACACAAATGTTATTATAATTATTACGCTGTGTCCGAGTAGGTGCATTGTTAAAATATTCATTCTCGAGTCGGTGAGTGCAATGTGTTGTCACCGTTCTTTCTTAGCCTTAAGAATTAATGTTTTTCAATTATAAGAATATTGTTCGTCTGAAATGAATTTTATAATTGTTGTTATATAGTATATTTACTATTATCGATAACGCGATGTGAACCATCGTTTTGAAACATATTTAATTTTGACGTACACCAATGATAGGAAACCATAATAAAGCTGAGCCAGTAAACTCGTTTTTCTAACACTTTTAAGTTTGGTCGATCAGAAGAAATGTACTTTTTTAAATTATTTTTTAATAGTTAAATAAGTTAGTTGTATGATTATTCTTATGAACCGTTCGTTACCGTAATCAGAGATTACAGCGAGACGCGAATATGCTTCAACCGCTGATTCGTATGAGGTCGAAAACCATGATAATCATGTCCACTGATGTACGTGAAACACTTTTGGACCGTTTTGTACATCGACAAATCTAGCGCAGCAGAGTAATTCGACGAATTCTGCTTCGAAATATCGGATTCCTATCACAAAGTTTATTGATTCCGTCGAAACAAACTGCTTAGAAAAAATGTTTATATCGATTCCAACAGCTACTATTTATAATATTTACATATCGATACCACCGGCTGCTGCTCGCACTCCCCCAACTTTGTAATATTTGATCACATATCATATTTTATAAAATTATGGTAATTGTTTAATTCAAAATTAAAATATATAGTTTACATTACCACCTTTTGGTGGAAGAAAAGGACGAAATATACTGAACACATCCTCCCGAACAGCGAACTTGCGTTATGGTCGAGTTGGAGTCCACCTATGCGAGTAGGTGACGTAAAACTTGTAACCCTTCGGTACGGTGATCATAGGCGCTCATAGGGGGATGCTTGGGGGTGCATAACACCCCCAGATTTAAAATTAGCACCCCCAATTTCCTAGAATATTTATTTCAGTATTTCATCAATAATTTGTAAATTATTGTGGTTTTTGGGTTGGGCATTTTTTTTCCACTATAAATAGAGAATAATATATAATATAGTTGACGAATTCACAATTAAAACAGTATTGTATAATTGCACGTTTTATTGTTTCAGTTTTTGTCTAACTATTAAAATATAAACAGGAATCATAATATTATAGAAAATCATATTATCTTATCTTACTTTATATTCTTATATTATCTACAGTTTACGAAATTATGTTTTATTTACAACTTTGATTATTACTTGGTTTTTAGTAATATTTAACCAGTGGGCTACGCTGAATTGTATGCGGAATGACAAATATTATTACCAATCATACAAACCATATGATTCATTACTATTTAAATTTTATATACTAGTTCATATTATTGATATATCAGGTTATTTTGAAAAAAACGACAGTTAGTTTATCAGCAGTAATGCTGGTCTTAAATAATAGTTTACTAGCCAACTTTGAATTTGAATACTTGAAAAATAATGTAATAAAAGTTCGTTTCCAAATGTTTATAAACTAGTTCAAGTGGTGATGACAATTCCAATTATTTCTTCAACGTGTGAACACTCTTTTTTAGCTATGCGTAGATTGCGAAAAATTGGTTCCGCACTAGTATGGGCCAAGAAAGATTTACTTAGCTATCTACGCTTAGCATTGAGAGAGATTTTAATAATAAAATAGATGGGGAAATTATATTGGAAAAATTTGCATCATCCAATAGGAAATTAAATCTTGTTTAATATATTATTAATAATTAAATATTATTATAACTTATAGTATAATTACTTTTAAATATTCATTAATAAAAATTAAAAACTTTGGCAACGCAGTTGATTATATCATTAGGGAGGTGTGGGTAGCTAAGCCCCCACGGACCTGTTTGCTATAAATTCCAGCACCCCCTGGATTCACACACAATGTGCGCCTATAACGGTGGCTGGTCTTTTCGTGGGCTACCGACCCGCGGAATGAGGTCGATGTTCTTACACAGCCCGGGGCGGATCCATCGCATCTCACGTTAGTCGAACGTACGAAAAACGTAAATGTAGTCGCAAAAGTTTGTCCTCTTGAGGCTTCGATAGATCGGGTCGTGATGGTGGCGGGCTGATTGCTTAAGTCGGTACGCAATGTGCTGTTTTCCTTCTGTCGGTGAACGTCCAACATTTGATGTCGGTACAAAAGATGAAAGGTACATCGAGGAGAGATGTTAGCCGGAATATGTTCTACGTGTCTGTCTGCCACGCTTATTTAACCCATAAACTGCGATAGGATTCAATTGGGCTTAGGGTTTCGCTTGGGACGTGACCGGGCGATGGCCGTTAGGGCCCTTCGGTTCATTAGCCAACGGTACAGGATTCTGGTGGCCTGTTTCGGCAACTCGGTGCAACCCCTCCATGCGGCTAGGGGATGCATTGAACCTCTGCTAATACGCAGTTGTAGAGCACTGCTTGCGTTTGCCACTAAACTCCAGATACCTGACCTCATCGTAGCGTTAACAGACAACGTAGGGCAAAAGCCGTCGGCGTCGTGCGTGGTGTGGAGGAGGAGTACGACCTCGTTAGAGGTGGTAGGATGATGGGATAATGAACGAACAACGAATGGCAGATCGGGTTCAAACGTTATTTTATTACATTGCTCCTGATAAAACTAATGTATACAATAATAAACAAGTTTGGAGTATTGAATACGAATGGAAATCCGAACTCACGGATTTCCAAACGGTGCCGATGGAAATCGACATCTACGCACAGCTGATTCGATGTTATACACGCGACTCGACGAGCTTACAAATGTACGAATAACTATTAACATATTATCTTACGTATTTTTAATTGTCGTATTCCGCGACCGCCTTGAGTCACATGCTACGGTTTCGCGGAACACTATAATGATCATGATGATGTTGATGACGATATTATGGTCGTCGGCCCTATATAATGGTTATATATACGCACAATTACACGCGCACACACATAAAATATATATATATACAAATGTAGGAAAGGGCCGACGGAACGAATTTGTGTGCAATAATATTCTACGTATAATTATAATAATAATAATAATAATAATGAGCGATGCGTCACGGCGAATTTTACAAAACTTAATCCACAAAGTTTATAATTATGAATAATTATAATAACAATAATAATAATAATAATAATAATAATAATAATAATAATAATAATTACAGTTATAATCGTATCGTATAATGTATGTAAACATAATATATATATTTATATATATATATGTATAGGTACATTTGCAGAACAAACATAAGAAATGTTACGATGTATTTGTTCCGATCTTTTTACAATTTACCGTTGCTAAATGTTTCGGAATGGACCCGAGAAAAGACGTTTCTTTGACAACGGTTATAGAAAATCTCAAAAATCTCTATAGGGTATTTAATGTAAATTTTGAAACTTAATTTTCCCACTTTGGAATTAATCTTATGTTAAACTTTTAAGTAATATTTGAAAATAAACTGTTCATAAATTAAAGATGAAATTTAAAAAGCACACATTTTGTAAGTATAAATATGTAAATATTGTATCAAAGGGTGATTTAATATAAATTAATGCGTAGTAAATATACTAAGTCTCCCTGTGAAGTTTTAACTTATATTAACTTAACTGAATTTATTTTTCTTCGAATAATGTTTGTTTGATTTAAAATTGTTTATTTTTTATTGGTCGAAAACGATAACAGCCGTTGTGTTATACGTCGTTCGGTATGGAATAATTACAAAAATGATTTTATCAAGTTCTACAGAGAAAGCGGGACGAATCAGTTGAACAGTATAATGGCACCGAACGAATCGAAACGTTGTCTGAAACGCGTTCACCGGATCCGTCCCGAAGCGACCGGAAAAATAAACATACGTATTAATTATCATTACAAAACACTACAATATCAAAGTACAATATGATGTCTATGTACATCGTTACGGTAAATGGGTGGCGGCACGACAATATGATAACGACGATAATCTGTTCACGGCGCGCGTTGGACTTACACGATAAGATCGCCGCTGGACCGGTGATGTTGGTGGTGGTGCTGCTGTTGGAGCTGCTGCTGCTGCTGATGGTGCTTCTCGTCCTCGAACGTAACCATCTTGTCTCTGGCAGGAGTCAGCCTGGGTGGACGGGTGAGCGTGGTCGCGGTGGTGCGCAGTGCGGACGGCGGCAGCGGCGGCGGGATCTTCTGCATCTCGATGGCGGAGCACAGATCGTGTGCGCTAGCGCTCCGTGGGATGAAGTACTCGGACACTAGGCCACCGTCGGTGTAGTGAGCAGCCGCTGACCGGTAGTAGCCGCCGATCATGGGCTGCTGTACGGAGCATCGGCCGGCCGACTGGCGTTGGAACGGCGGTGGGGGAGCGGGCAGGAGCACGCGGTGGCCGACCCGTGGCCGCCCGCCACCGCCGTCGTCCGAACCCACGTCCAAGCCATGGTCGTCGTCCAGGTCATCGAACGCGGGTGGTGGCAGCAGCTGCGCGACCTTCTGCGGCGGTGGGGGCGACGGCGGTGGTGCCAAAGGTTTCAGGTCAATCGCCACTACTCCTCCGTCGGCGGCCGCGACCGTGCCCATGGGCAGCGGCGATGATGTCGGGGGCTGCGGCCCGTAATCCCCGTGTCAGGAGCCCACAGCCGTGCTGTCGTTGCGGCTGTGGTGCTGCAGCCGTCCGCCACGGTGGTGTGACGACGCGGACAACGGCGGTGGTGGCGGAGGACTTACACCGCCTCCCATTCCACCGCCGCCGTCATCATCCATACCGGCGACAGTGCACACGACCATTTCCTTTTGCTGGTGATGCTGCTGCTGCTGCGACGACGACGATGACGACGACGACGACGACCACCACCACCACCAGCAGCAGCACCACCGGCAGTTGCGCGACATGGCGGCCAGCTCGTCCTGTAGCAGCTGGAAGCACATGGCCACCACGGCCATGCCGACCAGTATGTAGCCGGACGACACGAACACGGATACGTCCTTGGTGGACTCGACGCCACCGGGCATGAGCTCACCGAACCCGATGGTGCCCAGGCTGGTGAAGCAGAAGTACGAGCCTTCCAGTAGCGTCCACCGCTCCAGTTTCTGGTAGATGAACGCACCCAACGCCACATAAGCGCCGACCACGGACAACGAGAGCAGCACGGGCACGCGCTTCTGGCTACCACTGGCGGCCGGGCCGCACGGCACGTCCACCGCCGCGTCCGCGTACGCCGCCGCACCCGACACCGTCTCGAACTCGTACCGGTGCCGGTAGTAGTCGGCCGCGCTGCCCACGTGGTTTTTGGACACCGTGTTGAGCGGCGCCCGCTTGCCACCGTCATGCTCGTGGCTGGACCGGCCGCCCCGGCCCGCGCCGTCGTCGTGCCGGTCGTCATGGCCTGGCGATGTGGAGCACAGTCTCGAGTAAATGCGCCGGAAGTTCTTGGCCAGCGTCTCGCCCATCGTCGACAGGTACAGCAGCATCAGCGGTATGCCGATCAGCGCGTAAATGATCGTGATCACCCGGCCCCAAGGCGTCTGCGGCGTCACGCTACCATAACCTGTAACAATAACAGTCAATGGGTTAACCAAAAAATATTCACCGAGATAATACGAGCAACGTTAGCAGACAACTTATTGGATACTAAATATTATTATTATAGACCACCTAGGTGTCCGAATGTAAATAAATTAAATCAGTACGCAAGTTGTTCAAAGTATCACTACGTCATTCGTTTGTAATGTTGAATATAATAGAAAATTGTGTTACACTGTTTCTGTGCCGTTTACGAAAACATATACGTTCAAAAACTCGCTTACATATAGCTTGCCTATCGACAATGACCGGTCGACTTCATATCAACGTCAACGGCTCGCGACTCGTCACTATTTGTAACTCTGTTTACCTCAGTAAACTTTGGCTACCCACAGAACTTACCCAATCCACTCTTCTCACTCTTCACTAATACTTTGTTAACAGCCAAAGTTGAAAGTTGGAAATTTCGTAAGCTAATCTACGAAAAGTTACAACTGAGTTACGAAATATTGACACCGGTTTGGAGTCAATCGTTTGATGTTGCGGTGCTAATTCACGACCGTCAAAAAGCTGCTAACTACCGTGTGTACTATTTCGGTTACATCAACTGTACTCGCGTCGACAAACTATATGATTTGTTTTTAAATCCTAAATATTTATTACGAATTTGAAAAAAAAAAAACATTTTACTAAGAATTACACTTGTTAAACAGCAAGGTTTTTTGTCTTTGACAAAAGACTCGAATATCCTCAGAGTTGCTATCGATCGATTTTAAACGGAGACCATATCGTCGAATAGTATTGATGCAGATAAAACGATAAAAATATAACTTCAATCCGAACAAGTTCAATGCGAAAACATGACATCTAATAAGACTTCAGAACAGAAACGATGTAAAGTAACGATTTGGTTGGGATGAACAATTCATTTTTTTTCTACGAACCACTATTACACTTTTTTTTTTTTAATAAATTTAATCAACATTTATAAAAAGTATATTCCACTGTCTTCCCGTCGTCGAATCCCTATAATACCATTCCTGTTCTACTTGTCCAGCAGATATTACACGCTATCGGTATCGTGTTATATTCTCATCGATTTCCTTTACAAACCATGTTGACTTTTGAATTGAAGTGTTTTCAATACTTTTCTATAATTGGCGTACAATTTGGATGTATCGTGGAAAAAAATAAAATATATCCCTCTACGGTCTTTACTCGGTGAAGGTTTTCAATTCGCATATCGCAATTGTTTGCTGCGAAACGACTCGGTATTATACAATATTGTTCGTGACGCGTGTTCGAATCTCGTGATGTCCATGATGGCTTTGGCCTCGTCGTTATAGGGGTGGGAAGGGGGCGCGCGAAAATATAGTACAACGCTCTTTAGATGTGTAGTTTGACAGTTGTACAAGTCGTGCCGACAGCATTTTTGCATAGTAAACAATCGCGTTTAATAAATTACCGACATTTACACATTATATTTGTGTAGAATGTTACGCGCGTGTAGCAGTTGATTGTCATTGGTCCGATACCCGATCGGAAATGATGTAATAAAAAACATTTACGACCGCGGGAGTCATTTTTAACAATAACGATTTTGTTTTTTTTCTCCCTTTTGGAAATCGTTATTCACGGGACGTTTGTGAAAATCGGTTAGGTTAAATAAACATTTTTTTTTCACATAATATGTACTATACACTCTTATTAAAATATTTAAATTGACGTTTATAACGTGTAAACTGAAAAATAACGAATCATCAGACGATATGATGAATTATATCAATTAATATACTAGCACAACTATTAAAAATTGAAAATTAACCAATATTTTTGAAGAAAAAATAAGACCAACAACTCGATATGTTCTTCATGCGTGCACGCAGTTATAGAAATGACCATAGCAACATTTGTAGGCGTATCGTAAGTGTCTGTTTTTTCCTTCTGATACCCGGGACTAGTTGACTGATTTAAGCAAAAAAAAAGTAATAGTAATTAGTTTAATCTAATTACTATATTTTAAAATCTCAAGTAATTATGGACAGTATGACAAAACTATATTGAAATAATTGTGCTTATAAAAAATTACTATATTGTTATATCTAAGGTCGGGCTACTGGTAGGGCTAGGTATTTGCAGGTAGGGCCAATCTAATAAACTAGCCCCTCCTTTACAAATTTTAATTTTAAAACCCTTTACAACACGTTTCCCCAACACGAGCAATCGCTTAGATTTTCATAAGCATTTAAAAACACACACGATTCCACAAATTTCGTATAAATGTACAGGATCTCTTAAAAAATTCAGCGTTGCCGTGATTTCAGTTAAACGCTCGTTAACAGACATAGATTTCAAACGACAACTTTTGTACGTCACATGAGTTTCACACGTACACACTTATACATTGCTACTATTGCTCGTACGCATAATGCACGTTTTGTCAAGCGGCTAAGCGTAGATGTCATACAATTGTTAAAGTAAAAACCGACTTTTGATTTTGTATCTAAAATTTGATTATGGGTGTCTGAGAAGTCAAAAATTAAATTTTTCTCCGGTTCACAAAAAATAATTTTTGTGTACAATTATTGTACACTGTACAATAATTGTCTTAAACAATGATTATCTTTCGAACATCCCCTTCAATTTGAAACGCTGTATTTTTTCCACACCTGTGGGTTATATATGTATTATATATAATATATTATATAATATATTCAATTTTCTACCGTAGAAATATTTGGAAATATTAAAATGTATACATAATTTAATAATGTCACCGTCTAGGCGCACTATTTTATCGAGTGATTATTACAATAAGATATGCACATTATAAGACCGATTATCCTAAATTACCTGAAACCGTCCTATAGTTATGATGCACGTAATAATAAACGGCACTGCACAAAATATGTAATACGAAAATCGACTTTATATTTTGTCCTTGAAAAAAAGTTCCTGATAGACGCTTTTAACGTATGGCGTACGGTACGCTGCATTTGTAAATGCTTATGAAAATCTACAAGATTCCGCAAATATCATGGACTCGTTTTCCATCAATCTAAACTCTATGATTGCCTTGAAAATCGTGGTTTCAAAAATAACTTAGTTCAAACAACTATCTTTCGATTCGTTGAAAATTACAGATAGAAAAGAATTGCGTTTGAAATTTTACAAAGCTTCATTAAGTAATGCATTTTGTTAAACCGAAAAAAAATCCTTAAAAATCCTTGAAAAATCCTGTAGACTCTTCAATGGTTGCCTAATTATACTGAATGGTACTCGATTAACAAAATTTTATTCGGATTCAAATAGAATGTTTCCTCTTTACTTACATAACAATATGTAGCAGTACGCATTTAAAAAACACTTCAAAATGGGTTTTAAAATTATGTGATATGTTAATTATTACGTAATTCATAAGTATACACTTTACATGTCAGAATGGTTTACGTGACGGTTACGAGCAGTTAAAACCCAAGGGATTTTATAGATTATAATATAGAATTCTGATGTGATACTACTGCAGAGTGGTCGGGTAAGAAAAATGTCAGGAATCGTTCTTGGATGAATGTCTCGAGTGGCATAGCATATTATATAACTCATGTGAGTGACATAATATATACATGTAAATCAAATACTCGTAGAATACCGTCTTAATATATTATATGCATACTCAAAACAATCGATATCTATGAAACATGAAAATCGATTTTCCAACTACAACTTGTAATAAAAAAACACTACATTGCATTATTCAAATTTATTTCATATTATTCGAAATCCAATCATTGGACTTCCATTTATCGCGACAGCGGGTTACACCTAAATAATAATTAGTTTTGATAAAACGAGGGTGGAAGGAGGGTGATAGAGCTTATACTTGAAAGCTGGCATTGATAAGCATTCCTGGCGCCCCCAACCCCTAAAAATAATCGTAATATGCGTCCATGAGTTACTACAGCACTCGTAACAATAATAATAATAATAATAGAAACGTGCGCAATAACTGCAGTTGGTATTTAGTACACACGACTACATAGTAATTACATAGTATTACACGAGTACATAGCTTTTCATGCGCATTTGATGCTGTTGCAAATGCATCTTTCCATATACACATATATATATATATATATATATATATATATATATGGATACACATATCAGGTTGTTGTTACGTGCACAAGGTCGTTATACTCGTATTTGTAAGGGTGGAACGTAAAATTAAAATAAAACGCAAAGTTAGTCATTTAATTTATTTTCGCTTACTGCTCAAATCGTCCGATTAAATATTATAACATTACAGTCTATACGACGTACTACAGTGGTCCTATAATCGTGCTGCGTGAAGGTTACTTAGGGGCTCCAGCAGGGCAAAAATACGTCATTTAATATAAATTCACTTGTTATAAGTTGAATAGATTAATAATATATTCATACAGATTGTATAATATCTTACAATATTACTTAAACTGTAACGTCTGAAATTATCAAAATTAGATAGTGTTGAAAATATTAACAAACCCATATTATTATAAAGCATAAATGAAAAACCGACTATTCATAATTTTGCTTTTTTTTTTTTTTTAATATCTTAATAGAGATTGGAAAAAAAAGATATTTGAGAACTGTTAACATGTCACATTGTAGGATTTCGCAAGATTTGTAAACCTAATAAAAATCGTCGTCTAAATTAATAAGTTTAGAAAAAATTATACGTTTTTATATTTTAATCATGAGAATTATATACGAACTTGGATTTGGAAAAAAATTGGTGTTTTTACTTCGGGCTATGGAAATATAATAGCACTGAAAAATGTTGAATTTAAATGTCAAAAGTACCCTGAAATCATATAGAATTTATGCCTTGGGCATTGGAGATTCAATAAAAGCAGCAGATAATTTTCCAAGGGTGTCATTGTCGTAAAAGCTAGAGAACCGCAGGTATTTACGGTAAAAGTCGCTACGACACGTTATATATTCACGCAGAATTATAGTTATCAGTGTTGGGATTAGATAATTTTT